ATATATATATACATATATATATATATATATATATAAATATATATAAATTTGTGTATACTAAACAACGACCGAAGAATCAGCATTGATTACTGTCTCCGCTGGAAGCATAATTATAATAATTATAATTATTATATTTATTATTATTTATATTATTTATATTTTTATTTATATTATTTATATTATTTATATTATTATTTATATTATTTATATTATTTATATTATTTATATTATTTATATTATATTTAATATCAATACCGTTTTCTTTGAGAAAAGAGACAAGTCTAATAAATTTATTTTTTTGTTTATTTTGTATATTATGGGGCTGCATGCAGCAGAGCTCTCCTTTTATATTTTTTATTAAAATTTTTGTTTTTTTATAAAAATAAACTCCGCGGTTTACACAACGTAATATAGAAGCTGCCTGTACACCTGAACCCATAAATAAATCCTCCAGCTGGTCCTCTATAGATACCTGCATACATAAATAAATAAATAAATATAAATAAATAAATATAAATAAATAAATAAATAAATAAATATAAATAAATTAATTAATTAATATAAATTATTTAATATATATTAATTAATATAGATTTAAATATATTAATTTGTATATATATGTAGAAATGTAAATACATAAATATAAATAATATAGATAAATAAATAAATAAATTAATAAATAAATAAATAAATAAATAGATAAATAAATAAACAAAATAATATAAATAAAATAAAATAAAATAAATAAACAAATATGCTTACAGCTTTTTTATTTTTGTTTGTCGTTATTTCGTTGCTGCTGCTGCGGCTGCTGATTTCTTTTTTTTTATTTTTTTTATTTTTATTATTTTCTGTGGGGGAGAAGCTTTCATTTGACTCCATTCTGCTGCTGCTGCTGCTGCTGTTGTTGCTGCTGCTGCTGCTGTTGCTGTTGCTGCTGCTGCTGCAGTTAGCTAGGTGCTGCTCGTCATCATCCATACACCCATCTGCTGCTCCTGCTGCTGCTGCTGCTCCTGCTGCTGCTGCTGCTGCTGCTGCTGCTCCGCGTCGATGCTCTCGTGCCTGCTGGTGCTGCATCAGCTGCTGCTGCAGCTGAGCTATTCTTTCCTCCTGCAGCAGAATCTGCTGCTGCAGCGCTTCTCGGTCCATCTGCTGCTGTTGCTGCTGCTGCTGCTGCTGCTGCTGCTCCAGTTGCTGCTGAAAGCCAGCTTGAGGGTAATCTGTTGTTGCTGCAGCACCAAAAGAAATACACAAACAATAAAAATATAAATAAACAAAACAACAGCATGCAGCAGCAGCAGCAGCAACAGCAGCAGCAGCACCAACATTATAAACTGCAACACCAGTAACAACAACACCAGCAAGACAAGCAGCAGCAGCAGCAGCAACAGCAGCAGCAGCAGTGCAAAGGGAGCTGACGATAGTAATCTGTATTCCATCCTCCTTGTGCGGGGTATTGCATTTGCTGCTGCAGATACATCTCTTGCTGCTGCTGCTGCTGCTGCTGCTGCTGCTGGTGGATGAAGAAATCCTGCTGCTGTTGCTGTTGCAGTTGCTGCTGCTCCATGAACATATCTCTCTGTTGCTGCTGCTGCTGCAGCTGCTGCTCCTGCTGCTGCTGCAGTAGCTGCTGCTGCTGCTGCTGCTGCTGCCTGTGGATTGCTGCTGCTGCTGCTTTTCTTTTTCTTATTTCTGCTGGTGAGGGCCCCGGGAGACACAGCAGGTGAGTGGCATCGATGTGCTGCAGTTTTTTTCTGTTTTCTTCTTCTTGCTGCTTCCTCATCTCTTCTTGCTGCTGCTGTCGCTCCCTCTCCTCTGCCTCAGCTGCTGCTGCTGCTGCTGCTGCTGCTGCTGCTGCTGATGCTGCTGCTGATGAACCTGCAGCAGAACGCCTCGCCTCTTCTTCTCGCCTCTTCCGGTTCGCTTCGGCTAGCAGCTAAAACAAAAACAAACGCAAGCAGCAGCAGCAGCAGCAGGAGCAACAGCAGCAGCAGCAGCAGCAGCAGCAGCAGAGAGTACATGTATTGTGTGCGTTGTATGCCGTTGCTTTCTATTTATCTCTCTACCTAAACATCTATTTCTTTTTGCATTTTATTTTTTTTAACATCACGTTGGTGATGTCTCTGCTGCTGCTGCTGCACAACCAGCAGCAGCAGCAGCAGCAGCAACAGCAGCAGCAGCAGCAGCAGCAGCAGCAGCGTTGGTTCTTACTTGTTTGCTCATCGACGCCGCCACGGAGTTTGTAACAGAGAAGCAGCCCATCGCCTTCAGAGAGCGAGACAGCTCCTCTGCTGTTCTGTTGTACATAGCAGCTGCAGCACACACAAAGAAACAGCAGCAGCAGCAGCAACAGCAGCAGCAGCAGCAGCAGCAAGAGCAGCAGCAACAGAGAATTAGGGTGATATGGAGTCACACGCGCATTCACAGCATTGAAATAGCTAGAGATGCTGCTGCTGCTTCTGCTTCTGCTGCTTCTGTTTCTGCTGCTGCTGCTGCTGCTGCTGCTGTTGCTGCTGCTGCTGCTGCTGCTGCTGCTGCTGCTGTATTGCTGCGGGTTTCTTACCTTGTTCGTTAGGGACGCTGATAACGGAGAGGGTGTTGCTGTTGCCTGCGGGTAGGAGGAGAGCGTTGCTGCTGCTGCAGTGTGCTGCAGCAGCAGCAGCAGCAGCATCATCCATTGCACTGTGTACATTACCAAAACCAACAGAGACAGACTGTGGGGGCGGCCAGGATACAAATGTTTGTTCTGCTGCTGCTGCTGCTGCAGCAGCAGCAGCAGCTCTCAAGCGAGTGCCCCCCTGTCCTCTCTGCTGCTGCTGCATCTCCTGCTGCTGCTGCTGCTGCTGCTGCATTTCCTGCTGCTGCTGCTGCTGCTGCTGCTGCTGCTGGTCTACTGCGTGGTAGTTCATTGTCTGCGCGGGCTGC